ATATCTTAAAAATACAAATTCAATTATAACTAATCCTTTGGATCTAATGATATTAACCACGTTGAAAAAAGACTAATTCCTCCCTTTCTTTGAGTCTAAGTTTGATCTCACTTTTTATAAATATGTTTAAAAAATATATATACAAACTCAATTAAAAAACAGTATCACCTAAAATCAAGCTTTACAAAAATGTTCTCTGATTTCCAAACCCACCAAAATTTTCCACAATCCCCAACAGCACGATTTCCGCTGTGTTTATAATGGTTGTGATTTTTTGCCGAAGCCTAGTTTTTTCCACTTTCTATTGCACTAATTATGCGGCCTTTCTACTTTAGGACCGGGCTGCGCCACTTTGACCATTCAACGGTAAAAATAGAATTTACCGGTAGTTAAAAAAAAATTCAATTTCAAGTTTCTACTCTTGTGGACCCCACCACTTCCCCACGTCTACGGTATATATAAGTCCGTGTTCTGCTGGGTTTTGGCTTTGCCTTGGATTGTTATTATAAAGAGAACGTAACCATTTTCAAAGACGAGAAAGTATTTGCGCCGCTGTCTCTTCAAGATGCTTCCGCCCAAAAAACGGAGACTCTTTTCAAGAATCGGCGAAAAATCCGATCTCTTCGATGGTTTGCCAGACGATCTCGTGGTTTCCATTCTCTGCAAGCTCAGTTCCTCCGCTTCTCGTCCTTCCGATTTCATCAACACTCTCTTAACGTACGGTTTCTCCACACCTCTCTTTTTTCTAATATTTCTCTTTCTTCAGAAACTCACCACTCTGTTTCCTCAACAGATGTAAAAGATTGAACCGTTTAGCCCTCCATCCTCTGGTGTTAGAGAAAGCCGGAGCAAAAGCGTTGGCCGTCAGAGCTAAAAACTGGTCGGAATCTGCTCATCGTTTTCTCAGACTCTGCGTTAGCGCGGGCAACATTGAAGCTTGCTATACCCTTGGAATGGTTTTTTTCTTCTTTTTTTTTTTTCGTTTGCAGAAAAATATTAATTAGTGTTTATAAATTTGTAATTCCTCTGCTCTAATTGCTTGAAGCTAACGTATTTCTTTTACAGATCCGATTTTACTGTTTGCAAAACCGGGTAAGCGGGGCGTCATTAATGGCCAAAGCGGCGATAAAGTCTCACGCCTCTGCGCTTTATTCACTCGCCGTGATACAGTTCAACGGCAGCGGCGGCTCAAAGAAAGGTAGAGATCTGCAAGCCGGAGTGACGCTGTGCGCTCGAGCAGCCTTCCTTGGTCATATCGATGCGCTCCGTGAACTCGGACACTGCCTACAAGACGGCTACGGCGTGCGGCAGAATATTGCGCAGGGAAGAAACTTGTTAGTCCAAGCCAACGCGCGTGAACTAGCGTCATCGTTACGCTCTTTGAACAGACGACAACTGCAAGGTGAACAGTGTTACCGATACCACGCGTCCGTGACGGATTCGGGGTGTCGGTTGCTGAGTGATTTTGGATGTAATGTGCCTGCGGCGGAGGTGCATCCGGCGAATGAATTCTTGAAAGAGTGGTTCCAATCAGGGATGGGAGAGCTAATGGCGGGGCTGAGATTGTGCTCGCATGATAGATGCTGTAGGCCTGAGACCAGATATCACGAGTTTCGGAGGTGTTCTGTTTGTGAAATGGTTAATTATTGCTCGCGTGTATGTCAAGCGCTTGATTGGAAGTTGAGACATAAGAGGGAATGCGTACCGATGGAGCAGTGGCATAATGAAGGTGGTGCCGAAGGGATGGCGGAAGAGGTGGACCAGGTGGTAGATGCACAGGTCGTTGATTAAGATTACCAAAAGTTTAAGGGGTTTTTGTTTTGTGGCTTTGTAAACATCTATTGGCTCTAATTAAATACATTATCATCAACAGTCATATGTTAATTATTAAAGGATTTTCTATCTCTTAGCTTAAGCGTTTGTGTAGATAAAAATTAGGAATGGAAAGGAAAGGAAAGGAAAGGTAAGAAGCGAAAGAAAAGAAGGAGAAGTGGATGGGAAAGAAATGATTAATATTAATTTTATCTTAATAAATAAAAATAGATAAAAAAATAATAATATTTTTATTTAATTAAATAATTTTTTTAAAAATAAAATAAAACAAAATATTTAAAATTTATTAGTTAAAAAAACAATTGATATAGAATCAATTCTTCGAATCCTTTTAATTTGGAGTAAAATGGAGTAATCTACACTGAATTAGAAAAAAAAAAATTAAATAGAGAAGAACAGGAAGGAAAAAAATCAAACTCCCAACCTTCCGATTTGTCAAGAAGGACCAATCCAGACTGCTCCCATGCAAGAAGAACTTCGTACTGGTTGCGGTATATCCGTCCGGACGGATCATAATAGTACTGCATAACAAATGAATGAATGATTTAAAATTTTAAACGCTCTTTCCTTAATTTGAAGATCTTTAGGAAGGAATCAAATGATCCAAAAATGGTTTTAATGCCACGTATATAAATTTGTAAATTTACAAATTAAATAAGTAATTAAAAGCATACAATATCACTCATATTATTTTGAATAAAAAATTTAATCATATAATAACATATCATAATTATAAATTTAGAATGACATATATTATTTTAAATATATCATTTTCGTGTCTTATTCATCTTCACTCACTTTCATTATCAAAGATATTTTGTTGAAATGTGACCTATTAAATGCCTCTTTTTTTTTTCATTTTTGATTAATTAAATGTATTTAACAAATTTGTTAATATTACTGCACTTTCATCAAGTTTAGTTATAACACTATTTTCTTTGTGGTAAGTTATTATATAAAGACTATGCCAAATCAAAAATACATAATTTAGTTGTATATTATTATTGTTATTATTTTTTGAATACACTTGAAAGATTAATTATTTGATAGAACATAAGTTTAACCTCTAATCTCACTTCTTTTTTCTTTTTTTTTTTAAACAGTGGGAAACTTATGTTTTTTCCCGAGGAAGGAAAAGGAACCTGGGATTTGATCCCTAATCTCATTAATCCTACGTACGTCCGCAAGGGGTGGCCAATAGGTCACCATGTGCGGGACAACCTCTAATCTCACTTTTAAATTAAAGTTTTTTAATTAAATTAATAGATACTAAACCGCTTAGAGTGAAAGGAATCACATCTCCATTCATCTCCTTCCTCCTTTATTAATATTATAATCCAAACACATCAAATAAACGTCTCTCCCTTTATCTCCTTCCTTTTCCCTCTAACTTCTCCGATCCAAACTAAAAGTAAGACCACGAGATGGTAAGCATTTATCAGGGGATATGACACTAATTATAAAAGTATCTTTATGGGTTAAGTCATTGTAATTAATTAAGGATTTTTTATTTTTTAGTAAGACTAAAATGCCCTTATTTGTTTACACTGTATACTCCTGTTTTTTTCCAGTCTTCCGTCTCCATTTTTTCTCTCTCTTGCCACCCAGTCTAACCTAATTGAAAATAATTTGTTACAGTAAATCCCACTAGAAGATAGTCCTTTTGGCAAATTATTTTACTAGTTTCATTTCCATTTTCTACACTAAGATATTTACAATGATTCTTCAAAAAATCGAAAGTCTATAAAATTTAACATTAAAAATAAAAAATAGAGTTTCAATTGGGTTAGACAGGGAAGCAGGAGAGAGAAAATTTTGGGAACTGAAGAGAGGAGAATGGAAGATGGAGATGGAAAGGACGAAAAAAAGGAGTATGTAGTGTAAACACTTTTAATTTGTAAACATTTTTTCATTAAATACAACCTTTTTATATAAGGATTTAGTTAACCTGAAAATTACTCAAACAAAGTTAAGAAAATAAACTAATTTAAGGTTTAATTCAAGGATTATACCTAAATAATATATAATAGCGCACACCACAACTCCTCGTATCGGAAAGAATAAGTGCCAATAAGAATCCCTCTCGTCTTCTCTCTTTATCTTCAAACCCTAACTGGGTAATTCGACTGCGGTTTCTTCCTTAGGGCGCGGCAATCTCATTCATTGAGGTCAAAAACCCTTAAATCGAGTCAAGAATGACATCAACTAGTTTTAGGGATTCCTCTCCTCACATCCGACCCTTTGTTGTTAGTCCTTACGGTGTAGATTCCTTGAAATCGTAAGTCATTCTTACTTTACTAACGAGACAGAATACTTTTGTTGTCGAGATTGTATCTGTCTTTGATCTTTCTGTCCAGTTATTTTCGACTTTTCATTTAATCATCTTCATATCTGATCTTGGAAGATAACGAGGGTACTATATCATGTTCGGTCTAGGGATTATCCGATTCATAAAACCCTAATGCGAATTACAACTAGGCTAATAATCTGTGATATCGGTCGAGGGTTTGTTGAATCAAGGCAACCTTGATGCTACAATTATATACTTGGGTTTGTGGTATTGGGTTCACTGGGGTTTATGGAATTAACACAACCCTGATGTGAACCACAAATTTTTCCATGTCAAGGCTAATATATGTGGTTCTTTAAGGTTATGGCTTGAAATAGAATGTGTATGATCTAGAGTTGTGCTTTCCTTTATTTTGGGAAACTTTTAATATATTTTTGGACCCTCTGAACTTCGATATCTGTTGCCCTTGGCTTGTTACCTAAAATTTTGAGATTCAATTGTTCTCCAAATTCTGGCTCCTACTCTTGCCTCCAATTATTGAGGCAAACATGACATTCTTGATAGTTGGACTTGGGGCTGGTAGAAAACATTGATGGGCATGCATTAATTCATGTTTCCTTGGAACCAGTATGGCCTTCTTTATAGTATGTATGGTTTATACGAGAAAATAAAGTCTCTTTGCTCACCCATAATAGCCTTACATACTAGTAAGTCTTGTTTTCTTTATGCATGCTACTGTCTTCTTAAATTATTTAGCTCTTAATTATAAAATGCTACTGACCACCCACAAGATTTATGGCTACTAGCTATTAAGAATAAGTAGCTCTGAGTAGTAAACTGATATTAATTGTCCCTCTATGGCTACTGCTACAAAGGGAATAAATAGCTCCTAGTAGCAAAATGTTATTGGTCGTCCATATAAGTATGGCTACTAGCTATCAAAAATTATGTAGCTCCTAGTAGTAAAATGTTATTGCTCACCAATATACATATGGCTATTGGCTACAAGAATAAGTGGCTCCTTTTTTGACTTGACATATACATATGGCTACTGGAATAAGTAGCTCCTAGTAGTGAATTGCTTTGACTCAACATATACATTCCACTACTGGTTATTTGCTACAAGAATAAGTGACAACATATGCATATGGCTACTGGTTACATGATTAAGTGGCTTTTAGTAGTGAATTGCTATGACTCAACATGGAAAGCAGCTCCTAGTAGTAAAATGCATTTTCTTGCCTATTATACGATTGACTGTTGGCTACGCTCCTAGTAGTAAAAAGTGCTATTGCTCACCCAGAATATGAATGTCTACTGACTGCAGGCATCCTTTGTGTTGAAAATCATTCTTGATGGAATGTACAGTATGTTTAAGTCTACATTTCCCTTGGATGAGTACATCTCCTCTGATTTTAGACTCTTGTTTCCTTAAAATTGGCCCTCTATTTGATTTTAACACTCCACTAGCCCTCTACTACTTATTATTCAATTACCTAATAAACTGATTCAGGATGATAACAGGATAAGATGCCATAGTTGGTTTGGCCCAGGTTTTGTAGAATTAACACAGCCCTGATGTGAAACACAGACAACATTTAATATATTTTTAATACATGAGGTCATTTGGCTTGGAGCAGAATGGATATTTTGGGGAACTTTTAATATATTTTGGGCTCTTTAAATGTTTAATATTTGTTGCTTCCATCTTGTTACCTATGTTTAATATTTGTTGCCTTCATCTTGTTACCTAAAATTTAAGGATTAATTAATTTGCAAATTTTGGCTGTTAATCTTGCCTCCAAGTTGCAAATATGTCATGTTCTTTATAGTTGGACTGGGGGCTAGTAGAAAACATTGATGTCATGTTCTTGTAGTTCTTTATGTCATGTTCTTTATACGTTGAGTCATAGCAATTCCTATATGTTGAGTCAAAGTGATTTACCACTAGGAGCTACTTATTTTTGTAGCCAATAGCCATAGCTATAAGTCAAGTCACAAAAATTCACTACTTGGAGCCACTTATTCTTGTAGCCAATAGCCATATGTATATGTTGAGTCATCTTGATTCACTACGAGGAGCTATGACTCAACATATGCATTGATGGGTATGCATGAAGTCATGTTTCCTTGGAACCAGTATAGCCTTCTTTCTAGTATCTATGGTTTATGCTAGAAAAGGAATTATTATTGCTCACCCATAATAGTCATACATACTAGTACTTGTCCATGCTACTATCTTCTTAAATTATGTATAGCTCTCAATGATAGAATGCTAGTGCACATCCCTAAGATCTATGGCTACTAGCTACTAAGAATAAGTAGCTCTTAGTAGTAAACTGATATTACTCATTCATAAATTCTAAGGCTACTGGCTATTAAGGAATAAATAGCTCCTAGAATCAAAATGTTATTGCTTGCCCATATATGCATGGCTACTAGTTACTAAAAATTAAGTAGCTCCTACTAGCAAAATGTCATTGCTTGCAAAGATACTAATGACTATTGGCTACAACAATTAGTAGTTCCTAGTAGTGAATTGCTATGACTCAACATATACTTGTGGCTATTGGCTACTAAAAAATTAAGTAGCCCCTAATAGTAAAATGTTTTTTCTCATAAATATACATATGGCTACTGGCTACAAGACAAGTAAGTCCTAGTAGTAAAATGTTATTGCTCACAAATCTACTTATGGGCTCCTAGCTACAAGAATTAGTAGCTTCTAGTAGTGACTAGCTATGACTCAACACATATGGCTACTGGCTACTAAAAATTAAGTAGCTCTCAGTAGTAAAATGTTATTGTTCACAAATATACACGTGGTTATTGGCTACAAGAATAAGTAACTCCTAGTAGTGAATTGCCACGACAACATATACATATGGCTACTGGATACTAAGAATAGGTGTTTCTTAGTAGTAAAATACATTTTCTTACCCATTATAGTACTGCTGACTAGCTAGTAAGAAGTGCTATTGCTCACCCATAATATGAATGTATACTGGCCATGGAGAAGGGGCATCCTTGAGTTGAAAGCCATTCTTGATGGAATGTACAGTATGTTTAAGTTGATATTTCCTTTTATTGAGTACATGTTCTTTGATTTTATGTTCTTGTTGCCTCAAACTTACCCCTTAATTGTTTGTACTATTCAAATCTCTGCTACTTCTTTTTCAATCATCTTATCTATTTCTGGATTGTAACAAGGCTCTAATAAGTTGCCATAGTGGGTAATCCTCGATTGAGTATGTCTTGAGTCTTTGATTCTCTCCAACCCATTGTTGGTTCTAACATGAGAGGGGATTCCATGAACTTGATACTTGAAAGTCAATCTTGATAGACTGTAAAAGGATGTCTACGTCTTTGTTTCTCTCAGTAGGGTATATATCCTTTGATTCTAAGCTCTTGTATCCTCGAAATTGGCCATCTGTTTGATTTTACCACTCAATTCTCTGCCACCTTTGACTCAATCATCTGATATCTAATTCTGGATGGTAACGAGGTTAATGTGACATAGCAGGCATGTTCTGGGGTATCCCCCCTTCTAAGCTTATTCTTATATTTCTGGCCCTTTGTTGGTGCTTAGGTGAGAGAGGCTTCCTTTGTTCTAAAAGTCATTCATAATGGTGTGCAGTATGTCTAATAAGATTATAATTCCCTTGATTGAGTGTATCTCCTCTGAATTTAAGCTCTTGTTTGAGAATTAATTGTGGTTTGTTGATTGCATCTTTTATTTTTATTTATTTTATGGAACCTCATTAATTACAGTAGCTATAATTAATTATGGATAAATTTTCATTGTAGATTTATAGATATTGGGTAAAAATGTTATATTTTATTTTAATTTTACATTTTATTTTAATTGAATATGGTATGAAAGTTTATGTAAAATTAATTACAAATATTGTATTTAATGAGTATTAACCTACTTAAGTTTTAACATGTCAAACAAACTCTCTCTTTAGTATGGTTGTAGTTTTTATTTTTAGTTTTAGTTTTCAAAATTTAAATAATGTGACATTTTTATCTCTACACCAAAAAGGGAAAGAAATTCAATTCATTGTTATAAGAAAAAAAAAAAACGAAATGGAAGAGGAAGGGAAATTCATTTATCAAATTTTTTGGACTTTCATTTGTCCATCCCTATCCATTCGTTTATCACTGATCTCTTATCGGCGTCAGCATTAATTTTTTTTTTTTTTTTAATTCTCAGTTAATTCCCGGTTCCATCATCATCCATTTCTCATATCTCAGTCCAAGGTCTGGAGAACGGGGGCCTGATGCTGGCAAGGACGACGGGGAGGGATTTGAAGCTTTGCTGGATCCACCAATGAGAATGATGCAGTGAGGTTCTAGCTTCTGATTTGGATCCCTTCTCTAGCTCTTTTCATTACCTATTTCCTTCCTCCATTCCTTGTCCAAGTGTGATTGATTATTATGTTTATAATTGTTGGAAATATGATCTTAATTTCCAAGCCCTAATGGTATAATTTGTTTGGTTTGAGGCAGTGTTGTAAAAAACTTGCCTAGGCGGTGACTAGGCACCACCTAGGCTCTAGGTGGTGCCATTCCGCCCGCATCAGCCTAGGCTCTAGGTAATGCCATTTCATCCGCAAAAATTTAATGTAGTTGGCATCACTCAGATCAATTAAGTATATCCAAGCACTATTAGGCGTGCTTAATGGTACTTAGAGTGCTTGAGCAAATGCTTTTTATCAATTTTTTAGCCTAATAAAATGATATTGTTTAATTTATTATAAAAATTATATTAAAAAAACATTAAATGCCAAGTAATTCCTTTAAATTCTACTCTTTAGATATAATAATGAATAAAAAAATTTTAATTTTTCTTTTTATTTTATAATTTTTAAAATTGTTTTACATTTTTTTTATTCTCTTAGAATTATATCAAAAAATTATTATTAAAAAAAAAAACTGTGCTTAGGCACTCTAGGCTCTAGGTTATGGGCAATTGCCCACCATCGCCTAGCGCTTTCTGCAACCTTGATTTGAGGAGAGGGCTTGATTTGAGGAGAGGAGAAGGGGGAGGGGTGGAGTGTAAATTTCTTTATTTAGTTAGTAAAGAATTTAAAGGGAGAAGCCCCTTTCTTTTTTTATTTTTTAAATCTTGAGTTGCACAAGAGAGGCAACCCTCTATATCTTTTAATCCACACTCATTTGTATGTAATTAGATTTAACTTATGATTTCTTAAGAGATTTATTATTAAGATATTTAAATTGTTGGCAGAAGAGCTCTTTTCTTTATTTTTCCAAATGAGAGGAAGAGGATTGGTAATGGAGAAACTCAAAATTGGTTTATGTTGCCCTAAAACCCAAATCTGGGTTTGAAACAAACACTGTACACTTGTGAGGATCCCATAAGTGCACAAGGGTAGGAACTTGCTCAATTCATAACTAACAATCCACGGAACAAATTTGCAAAAATCTCAAAATAAAATTTAGCTTGCAAACCTAATTACAGAATAAGTTAAGTCCAAATATATGTGGCTAGCCTAACTCTAAGATAATCTAAGTTTAAAATACAAATGGCTAATCTTTTAGCTCGTCACTTGTCTAAATTTTCTCGTGTCTTTAATTTTAGTACTTGAAATGGTGGACGAAGAAAAACCCTGTGAAATAACTTAGTAAGTAAAATATGGATAGTTCTTGATTGAAATTCATAGTATTTCATATAAACAATTTAAAGCATCAACCAAAGGAATATCTCAATTATAAACCATTAAGACAAAATAAAAGTCAATAGTGGTCTCCTCAATTAGTCATTGTCAGTGTTTATTAAACTTTTACTAGTAGGCGTTAGTAATAACCAGTGTATTATCCAACTGGCAAGAATATAAAATGAACCAGTTCTACATATATATATGTCGACATGTGCTAGCGTTTGCAAACTCCAACTAACAGACGTCAATAATTATGACCATATTAGAAACAAAACCATGCAGGAGTTATAGGAAAATCTATAATTTACAGACCAATTTCAGGTTATCAGAACAATTCAATAAACTCCAAGTATGCATGCTCAAACCAATAAATGATAGCAATTTCATTTTAAACCAATTATACTTGTTTTTGTGTAATATAAGTTTAATCCCGTCACCACTTCAAAAACAATTTAAAATATGCTTTAAAACCTTTACTTTAAATTTAAGGGCATTTATCACAATTTTACTTACCTTGCGTTGTAGGTATACAACAAGCAAGAAATTCAAGAAGTTAATGTGTTTGAAGTGATTTAAAATCTATACCACATCAAATAAATACTTAGAATATATTTAAAACAGTTCCAAAAGACACACGAACAATAGGTATCCTAAACAGATTTTTTTTAGACAAAATAAGGTGGGAAAATGGTGAAAAATTGAGCTCTTAGCTATCCTAGGCATAGCAAAAGTATTAGGTAGTAAAGTGGGGGGTTTTTGCCATTTAAAGCAATCCCCAAAAATGCTTGGAATAAGCCTTGAATAGTATGGATTTTTGGGCAAAAAGATAGCAACAAAATAGGACAAAACACAAGTTATAATTGGGAAAAAAATGATCAGCATTTAAGCAGCAAAAAGGGCAGCTAAAGCAAAGCAAAGCAATAACAAAGGGTTTTAGAGCATGAAAACAACAATTAAAAATCTAGTAAAATCATGATGCAATATGACAGTAGGTACAATGGGCATAAAGTAGAAAAGAGAGTAAAATTCTGTCAAGTTATGGTCAGATTTCGTGTTAGAAATTTCAATAGAATTCACACCCATAAATTGACCAATACGGGTTGAGTGATCAAAAGATAAATTGTAATCCTATGTCTTAGCATTTTATAGTATCAAGAATTACCTTAATTCAACATCTACAGAGAGAGTTATGGCTAAAATACTAACGAGGTCGGGTTGCCAGTGTAGTCTGCCTACAGGGACCAAAGTTGTAGCAGAGTTTTCATTTTGAAAATAGTTGAATTGGGTTAAATGTCCAACAGAGAAGTTGTCAGGCTATCTCTTAACTTTCTATAGAATTAAAAATGGATTCATTCCGATATCTAGAGAAAGAGTAATGGGTAATTACTATAGAAGAGTCATACAGTTTGAATTTCTAGCAAGTAAAGGAAATCAGTTTTTGGTGGTATTTGTCATGGACAAAATCAAGGGGAAACACTACAGAAACACTTCCAAAATTAAAAACCCTATTAGAGCTAACCTATTTCAAATCAAGGATGAAAAGATGAGCAACAAGGTTGATTTTTTACCATAAGGTGTTGGAAAATGGTGATCTCTTACTGTGGATAGCAAATCCAAAACAAAGGAGGAGATTGGGAGGTTGCAGCAGCTAGATCTGGAAATTTTGAGCATCAGTTTGGAACCATAAACTCATATATCTTTAACCCTTGTTAAGAAAAGGAAGAAATTAAGTTCTTGGCTATTATTTCGACAAGAAAGTGCTAGCGCAAGGCAAGGGCTTGGGGAGGAAAAATTTTGATGAGGGTTGGGGAAAACACGTAGAAAGGCAAGGTGAGGAAAAAGGAAAGTCAGCTTGGTCTTTTTTATCACCAAACTTCACTTTTAACCACCCCTTAAGTTTGTGAATTTTAGCTATTAGGCTCGAAAATAACAATTTCTATCACAAAAACCCTTAATTTAAATTCTAAAATTTCAAAAAATTTTGAGATATTACAGTTTATTTGGTGGAATTGTGAGTTAGTTTGATTTTATGACTATATATCTCACTAAGGATATGTCTAAATGGAAAGAGTTCAGTTATCTTTAAATAAGATCTTAAGTTCGAATCTTGTAAATGGAGAGAGATATTGGGAGAGTTTTTTCACTTATGGGGTCTGTCACGACTTGATTCTAGTGTGACTTTTGAATATCGAGAGGTTAGTACAAAAAAATAACTATATATCTTCATTTTATTTGAATTTATGGTAAATCAAGTTTGAACTTGAGTTACCTCATTTTTCTCATCAAAGAATGTAAAATTAGACGTTTTCAAGTGTTAAAAACGCAATTTTAACGATCATAACTTGTGCCAAAGGTGCAAAGGAGATGGAGTAATTGCTGAAGGAGTACAAGGAAAAGTGGCAATGACAATATGCTTTGAAGGTAAGGGTTTGTAGATATTGTACTTATGATTTTGATGATTACAAAACATATTTAAGTAATTAATTGGTTTATTTAAATATGTAATTAAATTGCTAAAAGATTACAAAGTAAGTAAACTTGAACTGCATTAAAAATGAACCAAAAGGCTTGAAAAATGTGCAGAGAGCCAGCTCTTGAAACTTGCAGTAGCTTTAGTGAAAGTGAAGTGTAGAGAGTTAGCTCTAAAAGCTGTAGTCAGCTCTACGGGTGAAAATTTTAAGTTCGTTGTTTGGCATGTGCGGAAAACAGACACAAAGTCGACTTTAACTTTGCAACTGGCTATGAGAGCGCATTAAATGCACAACGGTCAAGTTATTTCTATAATATTGAAGATTTCATCAATGGTAGGGATATACCTATCCGTGTAGTAAGTCTCTCCTTCAAGTCTCCTTTTCTTTTATGAAATCTCCCTTCTTTTCTTTTATTCTCTCTTTTTTTTTTTAACACTAAACTCCTCAAAATTTAAAAGTTACTTTGAGTTTCGATTTATCTGAAGATGAGTCGAGTCAAATCTTATAAAGGAAAATTTCTCCTATTGTTTATATTTTTATTTACAAAATTTAAATTTAAAAACTTATTTATAAAAAATTAAGTTCTTTTCATTCATATTAACAATTCGTTGGTATTCCTTTCTTTTTATCTAAATTACAATTGCAATTTCTTATCCTTATTATGTTTTTAATCTATCAATACATAAAAAACAAAACCAATAAACCACAAAAAAAAAAAAAAAAGGGGCTTTCTCTGAGCAAGGATTTGCTAGTTCCTTGGATAAGGATTTGCGGCGGGTGCGAAAAGGCCAGCTGTGCGGCAACTTTATTGAATTCTTGGTTTTTTATTTTTATTTTTATTTTTTTAATTCAAGAAAAAAACACTTTGCTCCTTTCTATCTAGTTCGGGAGCATAGGAAGGCTTTTAAAGATTGTGATTGCAGCCCCAATCTTTCCGTTCAATTATTTTGATTAAGTTTTAATTGAATGCAACTAATGTACCAAGACGGTGCTTGTACACGTCAGATAGATCTACGGTGGTGCTTTGTTTGCTTCTTTGAATTTTTTAAGGATTTATTGAAACGGTGTTTTGTCCAAGAATATCACATAATTATATATATATATATATAAAAGAAAATACTAATCTTTGTGAATTGACCTCTTAATTAAGAAAATAATAATATTTGTATAGTAATATTGTTAAAAGGGATTATCACATCATTTGCTTTTTTATAGAGTTGGTACAAGAAGTAAGATTATACAAGGACTAAAAAAAGTTTTAAAAATAATCTTTCTGTACTTTATAGTTTTAGTGTCTTATATCTTGGTTGAATATATTAAAAAAAAATTTAACAGTAATATCTTGGACTCAAGTGTAGCTTTGGTAGTAATGGAATTTAATTATTAGCTATTTCAATGCATTAAATAAATTAGTTTAGAGCATGATTAAAGTTTGTAAAGTTATTCTTTTTTATTTCATGTACAGCCGGTCCATATTTCAATGGAAATTTGCTTATTATAAGATAATGAATTTTGGTTTATGAGAGTTAGATAATTTTTTCATGTATAAATAAGACTATTTTAATGTGAAATAAAACACAAGCTGCAAGTTTTCTCTCTGTTAATGTTATTCTACCACTTCCCTTTATTTTTTTTTCTTTTATATGAGAAAATATTTATTTATATAAGTTTTACATATTATATTTATATAAAATGTCAATTATTTATTTTTTTAGTTTTAATAATTGAAATTTATTATTTTTTAGATAAAAAATAATAATTTTTTATAACTGTAAATAAATAAATCTTAACTCTTGAAAATAAAAAAATAAATAAGGGTTTATTTATTCTATGCCTTTAGGGTACAAGATAAAAAAATAATTATTGATTAATAATTATTACTTTTTACTTTAAAAGTGATGAAATTGATTTTGTTTTAATTAAAAATGTCATGTGTTAATTTTTTATTAGTTTATTTTAAATTATAAAATAAAAACTATTTTTTAATTTAAAATTTCATATTTTTAAAAAAAAATCACAATTATTATTTAGTCATTATTTTTTATCAAGTGCCTTAAGATGTTCTCTAATAAATAACTAAAATTGTATATAATTGTGATGTATAAAAATATCTATAAGTAAGTTTTTATTTCTTATATTATTTTATGATAACTGATTTGAAAAAAAATAATAATAATAAAACTTGTAACAGGATCCTTATTTTATACTAGTAAGGGGGATCCTCGCATGGGCATTGAGGAAATTTTCTCACAGAATTTTATGGAAAAAACGATTAGGAAAATTCTTTAAATGCCCATTTCAGCCCATGACAGAAACCACGACGATGTGGGGCAAATTGTCCTCCGTCCTCCAATTTTAGAAATAGAGTATTTTTAATTTGAGGGAGGTAGAATAATTTTTTAATTAATTAAATTATAATATTTTAACACATTACAATTTAATTAGTATAAAATTTCATACCTTATTTCCTTCCAACCGAATCGTAACTCTAATCAAATAACTTTTAATCAAATAACCTAAAGTTAAAGGGTTGCAATTTTCAATATTATAATAATAGTAATATATAAATTAAGATAATTTATATATAGATTTTATATATTATATTTATATAAAATTTTAAATAATTTTTTAATATTTAAAATTTAGTTATATTTATTAAAAATAATTATTTTTTATTTAAAAAATTATAATAAATTTTAATTATTAAAAATAAAAAAATAAATAATTAAAATTAATGTTAATATAATAGGAAAATTTTGATATTGAATCGTATATCTCCTCATAAATATAATTCAAAGCGAGCAGGAAGTACTGTAGCTATACTGACGCCCTCGGAGGCAATTTTTAGGCACCTGAATATATGTCGAATTCTCTAGACGGAGAACGGATACCGTCGTCGGATCAGCGCCGTGACGACCAACAGTCCCAAGAATGGGAGACCATGGCTCGAGCCTGGCTTTGTGCGTTCCCCGAGGCAAAAGCCGTAAGCGTCAGCCAAGTCGAAGCCTGGGTCGACTCCAACCACAGCTCGCTACCGGCCGGCCTGCAATCCATGCCTCGCTCGGAGCTCATCGAGAAGTTCCTCTCCATTCAAAATTACATGAGAATGCCTTCTGAGGTACTGCCATCAATTATTGCTTTCTTCTTCTTCTTTTTTTTTTTTTTTTTAATTTCCCTCATTGTTTATTCAGTTCTTGGTTTGAGTCTTAACATTTAGAACTGTAGTAATGATTTTGATTACTGTAATCTAATGTAGTTCGTTCCTGTTTTGTGACTGGCATTTAAAAGTGTTTTTTTATTATGTTATGATTTCCTTCAAGAAAAGAGCAAAAATGAAGAGAAAAAAATGTGACACCCTAAGCAAATCCCACATCCAGAAAGCATGGGAGCTATATTGATCAAATAAGTTAGCATCCTATGGGTGGAAAGGGCACAATATCACTGGTGGGCTAGGTGGTTACAAAAAAAAAGGAAGAATAAGGGAGTCAATTGAAGAGAAAAAATAGAATGTTTGGATCATGTTGATTGCCTAATCTTTTTGGTTTGCAATATTATGTTGAACTTGCTCTGTGGAATAGCTGGAGCTACTGGCCAAAGGAGGGCCCAGTAAGTCATGCATGTAAGAGAAGAAAGTTTGGTTTGGTGTGTGTTTGGTTGCTGAGAATGCTTTTCTATTTGCATTTTATATTTCCCATCTCCAGAAAAAATATATATATATATGTATATATATCTTTTAGCATCTCTAATATTTGGAGGCTGCCATTGGTGAATGGAAATGAAAATGATTTTCAAAGAGATCTATCTGGAGAACGCAGAGAATATAAACAATCCATTCTCCAATTTGTTGATTAATTGGAATGGTGTTGCAAAAAGCTTGCCTAGGCAGCGCCTAAGTGCTAGGCGCTGCTCCACTGCCTTGCCTAGGCCCTAGGCTGTAGAGCCATGCATTTCTTCTATTTTTTAGATTCTCTGTTCTATTTTGGCATTTATTGCAGAAAAATAAAAACGCATAGAGCACTTAAATGGTGCCTAAGCACTACTTAGGTGCTGTGTTGTGGACCAATGCCTACCACAGTACCACCAACTAGCACTTTCTGCAACCTTGAATTGGAAAACTATTTTCATTTTCCAATGCCAAATCTGTTTTCCTTCACGTTTTTTATTTTCATAGAAAAAGGAACAGAAAACAGACCTGTTTTCTACAACCAAATCCATACTGATGTTCTCATAACATCATTCTTGTTTTCTGAAGTTTTTTGAATTACTCATTTGCATCCAGTGAGATGTGCACGATATGCTGCTATCTATCTTCATGTGTATATTGTACTTCAGGAAGGGATTTGAATTAGGGCCCATTCTTCAAAGGAGAGCTGCCATGTTATATAGGTCAATGCCTAAACCACAGTATAATACTTATTTGGAAGACAAAAGATAAAATCTATTCAATGCCTAAACCACAATATAATACTTATTTAGAAGACAAGATAAAACCTATCTATGATTCTTTGATATCCATTTTGCGTTTTTTGCCATTTTTGTATATTTTATTTGCACAGATCATTACATTAGTTTATAAACTTTATCTTCTTAGTTGTTACCATTTAGCAGTTAATGATCTCTCATTTTCCACCTGCAGCATGACAAAGAACCAAGTCAGGTTGACATTCATCCAGCTCGATTTCAACGCACTGATCAGTGGAGACCAGTTTACTCTTGGTTAGAGTCCTTGGACACAGATGAAGTGGTCAAATCTAAAGATATATCTGACTGGTTAAATGAGAATGCAACAGTCAAAGAAGATTTATGCACTAGACATTCTCGATATCATTTGATGCATTACATCAAGAAGTGCCATCTGAAAATACTGAAGAGGAAGGAAAAGAAGGTATCTAGTATTTTTCATGTTGATATATCATGTACTAGGAACTCTAGGTTCTCAAACTGCATCCAACAATTTTTCTTGAATAGGTATAAATTGTGGGGGAGGGGGAGGGGGTTGGTTGAACCCCACACCCAAAGTTGGGGTACATGTTTACATTACATGTATGCTTGTCCATTCTTGTTATCATTAGATGCATTGGATCAAATAGTGCTATCTGAAAATAAACAAAGAAGACAAAACCTGAAATTAAGGACATGAACTTTCACCAAACTTCGAATTGAGGGTATAAATTTTTATTTGTTTTCCAATAAGCATACATTCTTTGCATTAGTTGGAAATAAGGATAATTTGGACAGAAAATTGACATGTGATATCTCAAAAATTGGTTTCCTTTTAATCAAATTATATTTCAATTGGAAAATTAACGATTACATGATGTGAACTGGGGTTTTGATTTTGGTTTTTGTGGTGTCATGGACAATTTTCCATCCAAATTATCTTTATTTTTGACTAATGCAAAGATTGTGCCCTTTTCAAAGTGACCAAAGTTGGTATCCTCAATTTCAAATTTGGTGAATGTTCATGTCTACATTCTTGAGTTTTGCCAAAAAAGAAGGGGAGTGAAGGTATAATGTGTTTTTCATTTTGGTGTAGGTTATACTTGAAACTATAGGTTCTTGAATTTGAACTGGCTTTAACATGTGTGCATGCATGCTTTTCCATTCAGTATCTGATGAGTGAATGTTTAGTTGTAGAATTGTTGTAATAAAATGTTAGGTCTGTGATTATGTTATTATGACCTTAAGGGCTTATTGTAATTTAGCTCAAAGCTATCAAGTAGTCAATCTGGTTTGATCTTCATAAATGATTTCTACCTTTGATAAATGTTTTCTCTTTGCAAGTTTTAGTCAATATAGTTTTATTCTCATATTACTAGTGCTTCACTTGAATAGGTTGGCATGCAGCCGTCCAACAAGGAAAGTGCTTTGAAAGTGCAGAAGGATGTCATTACAAAGCAACCAGCAACACTTTCCAGTATGTTTTATGACTGCTTTTCAGTAGTAATTTTCATTGAGGCAACTTTTAGATGTTCATTGCAAGTGGAATGATTTTAGTTTTTTCTTTTTAATCTAATTTTCACAAAAGTTCAAGGGCATAAGTTTATACTTCAGCTGTATAATTCTTTGTCTCTTCTAAATCTATATCACATTCTACAATGCCTAACTATAGGCTAGATAGTTCCCTTGGCCATTTAATAATGTAGAGGCCTAAAAGGCTAATTTTTCTACTTGGTATTATTGTCTTAAAAATGATCAATTATCAAGTTAATTAAGCAATAATTGTGTTTCTTTGTGGTTTGTGAAACCTCTTTTCAGATTTTTCTTTTGGTGAGAAATCCTATTTTCAGTTCAAGTTGGGATATTTAACAGTTTCCAAGAGCTTATAAGGTTTCATTTTTTTTAGCGAACTTTAGAAGTTTTTATTCCATTGGACAAGAGAAAGCATGGAGATATATGTGAGTGTGTGTGTGTGTGTGTGTGTGTGAAATGGGAGATCACACCTGGTCCTCACATTACTGTTTTCTACTGTTCTCTTTTGTTGGTTTTTTTATGTTTAATCAAATTGGATATATGAAGCCTGTTTCTTGCAAAGGTAGCACAATTTAGGGAAACCTGCTTGAAGTTGTATGAAGGCAATTTACAATTCCATCTTGTATTTTGGAAACTGCAGACTGAGGGAGATAGTTCCAAAATATAATTATATAAAAAGATTGACCATATGAGATAAGTATCTATTTTCTTATAAGAAGTTTAGACTACGCAAAAACTTAAGGTAGAAAGAGTAATTTCTAATTCACCTCATCACATTTTGTAATTTATCTGTTGCATTTTCGTCATGGTTTGTTCACATCAAATGTTCTGTATAAATATCCTTGCAAATTCAAAAGATGTGGAGAAATGTTCTTTCCCACCCCCCCCTCCCCCGTCTCTCTCTTTCTTTAGCCATTGACTTTGTTACAAGCAATTCTTACTGCTGTCTGTTTAATGAAATGTGGCTTTGTCTAATGTCATCCAGGCAATCCTTTTAGTAACTTACCCAAGGACAGTGATCTCTATGTGGCAAAACGAAATGAAGCTTTAAGCAAATACAAGATGTAAGTGAATTATTTTGGTTTTCACTGTTGATTTCCACCTTTATATAATCAAATTTCTTTAGTTGCAAACTTGCAATTCGTTTGCTAATAGCCACGTCAATCAAACTTTCAGCTTACTTGAGTTGGAAAAGAAGCTCATCCCCGTGTTCGCCAAGCAGAAATGAATGCATCTTAAAACAACAGCAAATGTCTGCTTAAGGGTCCTAGACAGAAGTGACTACCATTGGAGGTTTTAACCTATTCGTTTATCCAGTATCATCCTTGTAAATTTTAGGTAATATTTTATATTTCGTGAATGTCAATTTTAAAGAACTTATAAAAAGTTATTTTCCACAGACCCCAAAACCTCCAAGGTCATCTCCATTGGCCCCAAGTGGGTGTCTCCTCCCCCCCCCCCCTTCTTTTTTCCTTAAATTGAAAAAAGAACTTAAATTTGGAGAAATTGTGTTGAATAAAATAATATTGGTGTAATTTTTTAGAGGCTTTTGAGTTTCTCCATTGAAAAGGAGACTCTTTCTTAAAGTTTTTAAATATAAGTTGAATAAAATATATAAGTTGCAATGGTATTAGACCTGGCAATTTTTTACCCAACCCGTTAACCCGTCCGTTACCCACCCGTTTAAAACGGGTTAGGGTCAGATGTTCATGACCCATGACCCGTTAATAACCCGTTAACAGAACTCGACGGGTAATGGGTCAATAACGGGTTGACCCAACAGGTTAACGAGTTTAACCCGTTTACCTATTTGAAAAGTAAATATTTTTTAATTTATTATTTATATATTTTATTTCCTAATTTTCAAATCTCAATCTCACCTAAATCTCTAATAAATAGCTAATTTTACCTAATTGGTTACTTCTCTCGGCTCACCATCTTCAAGAAGCCAAAAAAATCCCAGGCTCCTAATGTCTCACCCCACCACTCATTATCTCAGTGATCTCACGACCTTTCCTGTTCTTCTTCTAATATTTTCAAAAACTCTAACTCTTCCAACTCTCCTCAGATTCTCCAATCTGCAGCCTCCATAGTTCATACGGTATTTCTGCATGTTTCTGCAATTTTTCTGCACTTTTCTTGTCATGTTTATGCATGTTTCTGCTCATGTTTTCTGCAATTTTCTGCTCATTTTTTCTGCAATTTTGGTGGTATAAAACTATATTTCTTCCATTTTTTTGCATGTTTATGCAATTTGTCTACACTTTTCTTATCATGTTTCTGCATTTTCTGCTCATTTTTTCTGCAATTTTGGTGGTATTTGAATGTTAATTTTTGGATTGTGAAACCAATCAACCATCCAAAATAATTTAAATTGTAATATGTACAAATTACAGAATAAAAAAAGAAAAAAAAATTAATTGGGTCAACCCGCGGGTTGACCCGTGACCCGTGATGGACGGGTTAAGGTCTGCCTTCATTGACCCGTGACCTGTTTTAACACAACCCGTTTTGACCCGTTACTCGTTCTGACCCGACCCTAACCCGACCCAACCCGCCCGTTTGCCAGGTCTAAATGGTATGGTATTTGGTCACTCTTGTAAGGTTTCCCAATTGAGATGCACTAATTCTAAGTATTTGAGTTAACAATCAAAATATTTGACATTATTTGTAAGGGTATGTTTAGTTTGAGCAAAACAATAGAAAGGGAAGAGAGGCGAGGAAATCTCATTTGGATAAATAAAGGAATTAAAAACAAAAAATAAAATAAATAACTTTCCTCTCCTCTCCTCCATTTCAAATTTTTTTGATATTTCAATTGAGAAATTTTCCCTCATTCCTTAAAACCAAGCAGACTCTAAGATATAACCATTAAAAAACCAAAGCAAAACACATTTGCAAAATATTTCTCCAAAATGCCTTACGTTTATAAGAACAGCTGAAAAAGTTTAATTTAGAGGAAATCAATATCCCTAGCTTAACTCTTGCCTCCATGCCTTCTTCTTCCTCCTGTTTCTTCTTTTCCCTTAGCTGCTATTTCAATCCCTCTCGAAAGTTAGAGAGGATGATTAAAGGTGGGATTCCCTTTATTTTGTATAGTTCTGTTTCAAAGAGGATTTGTCATCATTAATTTGTCATCATTTTTTAAGAGTTTTTGTATTGATTTTCTCAATATGTCTCTTTAGGCTTTGCCTATGATAGAGGAGGAAGACGACATGGATTTGAAACTTTCTGTTTCTGATAAGCCAAAAACTTTTATTAACTTAGGCACAAAGGGTACCCAACTCATGTATTCTCCTTTTTTTAATATTAGTAAAACTAGTAATATCCCCTCCTAATAATCCTTTCCAAATACACTATAATGCTGCTCCCCATCAGAAGCCAAAAATCCGTTTCCAACTCATCTTCTGGCATTGCTATCCTCTTTTTAGAGCCCGCCTTGGATCCATCTTCCACAAATCCAAAGACAAGTCAAGACTTCCACTCCGCCCTTAACCAGTGGAACGACCTATACTAGATGAGTTCCAGTACCTCATCCACCTGAGTCTGTTCATTTTGAAAAATTAACCGATTCCGTTGAAGCCATAAAGACCATAGAACCACAAAGCAAACCAGCATCCGCGCGTCCTTCAAGCCCATATTGCCAACTAATCCTGCATGCTGCTGAAAGTGAGTACGAACATCTATACTTACTGCTGAAAAGACACCCCAGCAGGAGTAACAAGATGACCACACCATCGAAGAATGGGTGCACTTAAACAGCAAATGGTTAATGTTTTCCTTGAGCACTTACTACAAAGAGTTCCTCCACGTGGATTTGAGACTTAGATGAGTTTGAATTAATTGTGGTACTTTTGTCAATTATTGATAATAATTGTGGTATTTTTATCAATTGTTGATAATATAATCAAAAATTAAAGTCTTTAACTAATCTTTCTACAGTTAAAATTTTATTATTCAATAATTAAACCAACACATGCTAACTTCAATGTCCAAATTTAACTCGATTTCATCAAAACTGTTTGTTGTAGTAGTGGCTGGTTGTGGCATGATTTTAGGACTTTACAAAGCCACCTAAAGGTTATTAGGAACACTTTTTCTAAAATAAAACACAAGGTCATAGGGTTTTACATTAGGGTTCTTTGGTTTTCTTTTTTAATATCTTAGCCCCTTTTTTATGTGAAGGTAGGAGTGGAGATGCTCCAATTGTCATTTGCCAGAATCTTTCGATGGTTGTAAACAAAATTTTATTGAAATTCAGTTTCCTTATTTCATTATTTCCAAAAAAAAAAAAAAAAACCCCTTTAACAAATGAAACGACACTCATTCAAGCTTAACCCCCAATTGGCAAGTTGCATATTTCCCTAGATTCAAATCCTCCCACCCCGATATCAGAAAAATAAATAAATCAATCAATCAAATGATCCAGACATAAGAGACCAACTAAACAATTTAATCACTTATCACAAACCAAGGACATAAATATAATCAAATAGTGATAACAACAAAAGTTACAAACAAGCAAAAGCCGCAAAACTAATCTATACAATCATTAACAAACTTCTCAGTCATATAATGTCTAGACATGGTATGTTAAGAAATACAGAAACCGCATCTAGATCCATGCCAAAAACTCTGCTCAACAAGTCAGAAACTTGTATCTTATGCATGCCAGTCGTCCAAATCTAGATCACGACCAACTTCATTGCAAGCAAGCAATCATGAGAGCTACATGCCAGAATTGATCATTGCTAGGTCTGGTAGGTACAATACAGCAAAAACAAGAGCCTCAACACCATTGAGGATACCGTCAACCAGCCATCTCCACATCACGAGGTTTGTCTTCTTGATCCTTTGATGAGTTAATAGCTGCTAGTAGCTCATCTATTTTCAAAGGAGAATGCCGAACTGTATACTGAAACAAAACCTGAAGAGCACATGCCAAAATCTACGGTAAGTCAAGAAAGTTTCAGAGGATCAATATATTAAAAATATCTGCCAAATTGGGGAAAAGAGGAATGGCTCAGAGGATACACAAATTTCTGATTCCCTTTTCTTTTGAACAGATTTCAGAAGTAATGGCATAAATTGTCACGAAAGCTAAGAGCTTCTAAGCATCCACAACATTCAAGTATATTTTGGGGTGTAGAATCCACTGAAGTGAATATTCTAACTTGTATAAACTGCAGATGCTGGGGATTAATATGGCATATACACCATCCAAACAGTCCAATAGGAAAAGACTTAGGCTTCTTTATATTATTATTATTATTATTTCTTCTTAGAGTGCCCCAAAGGAACAGATTGCAATTTAATATAATAGTTTAATACGCTGACCTAGGCCATAACAGCTATGGAATCAAACATCTCTACCTAGTAGGGAATACATTGTTCATTATTTCCCATGTATTGGTGGACAACAGTATTCTAATTTGCCAGGTAAATCTAATACCAGGTCAACATTCCCACCAGAATAAATAAAGTTTCTGAAAATAAAAGCCATACTAACTACATAGTGCATGCTTTTCTACCAACCTTGGAGTAACTGTCTGCAAATGCCCGTGCTCGATTGGCCTTGCCAAGATAATTCAAATCAGCATTCTCAAGCTTCCCATCCACAAAACTCAATCCTCCATCACTAACAGCAAAACGCAAAAGAATCCCTGGATGCAATCCCGTCTGAAAATTGGAGACGTTCAAGTTAACTACAAATATTATTAGAAAATTACCAATTTCAGAAAGATGGAAAAAGAAAAAAAGGGTGGACCCTAATCTACTTGCTTGTCTGTTGTTTGGGTCCAGCTCATTTATTATGAACTGAGTCAGCCTCTGATTCAAGCATGTTAAGGTTAAGGATCTAAAATCATTGTAAATTAACCCTCCCAATCTCAAGCTTTTTAAGTAGGAGAAGCCAATAAAATTGAGCTTAAATCAATATGCATACATACATACATACATACATATATCTATATACATGGAAGAGTGTTGTCAGCCAGACCTCTTAAAATTAGGAGGAAAAACACCCTAAAACTATGTCATTTCAATCTCCCAGTGAAAAATACCAAGATAATCTACTTTTAAACCAGTAACGAGACTGTTTTGGTTTTTCCTGTGGTGCATTATTGACTTTAAGCTCAGGTCAGACTAGAATCTAACAATATTATTATATTGAGCAGGGCTTCAGTTCATGAACATGTAAAAAGACATGATTGGGCCTCAAACAGAAAATAGGTTCAAATCAAGCTTTCGCTTGGGATTGAGATTCAAAATCCTATTCCCCTCAGAGCTCTAGCTTCTGCATATTTGCGAGGGACAATCTAAAAAATTTAACTGGCTCTTGAGGCTGTTAAGTTTTTCCTTATTTTCTAACAATTACATTCAACATATATTTGATAACAGCACATAAAGAAACCTGGCTTACCAGGCTGCTTTTGACGTCAATGAGAAACTTTCAAGTTCAAAATGATACTATAACAAGACATTGATAGAGTGCAAAAAAATAATTGGGATCCCATGTTTTTTGTAAGTTAAGGTTTTTCCTTATAGTTTCTAATAATTAATTCTAAATATATTTGATAAAAGCACACTGAAACCTGGCTTAGCTGGCTGCTTTTAAGGTCAATGACCAGAGCAAGACTTTAAACTACAAATCCAAAAAGCTTCAATAACAAGACATTGATACAGTGCAAAAAATTAATTGGGCTCCCTTGTTAGCTGTAAGCTAACCCAGTGCATGCATAATGTTGTCTAATACTTGGAACACAGTTTCCCAAGCTAAATTGACAGCCCACTGCATCAATATGTCAAAGTTACTATAATGACCATCATTGACACATAATAGATGTTGAAAATCATTTCTATAAGGTAAAAGCAATAATAAATTACCAAAACATCTCCCTGGTTCAAAAGGGGCACTCAAATATTGAACTGCTTACTATAATACCTTTTCTATGAAGTCCCTATCTAAGCAGCCAAATACTACAGGAGGATCATCTGATGTAGCCAATTTCCCATCATTTTGCAGCTCCAAAACCACCTGAAAATGCAAATCAAAAGAACTATTAAAATGACAGGCAAACACAAAAATAGCTGTAGGCCTTCGTATACATATATAGAGGTGTAATACTAGTATCTAAACCTTTTTCTTTTAACATCAAAAACCATCTTCTTCTTTCTATGGTATCTTCACCAGTTGAGTCAAAAGGCACAACCATTCACAGATAAACATTACTACCTAGCTCTAAACAATTTTTTGGTCTTCATTTCCATTGCTAAATTAGTTGATGAAAAAAACCAATTTTCCTAATCAATCCATCAGACAGCAGTTATATATTCTTACATGGTGAGCAAAGGAACTCATCCAAGGAAAAAGTTTAAATGAGAAAGCACAATTCATGTAACAATAACATAACCATTCCTAGGAAAAGAAACATGGTTAGTAAGGGGCCAAAAGGGTGGGACCACAGAATAGTGGGCACAGGTGAAGGGAGACCAGGAATGCTTTGTTAAATTACCTGCTGCTGGCTTGGAATCTGTCCTTGACTATCTGTGTCAATAACATATTGACTACAGTTCTCATCCTTCCAGACTAATACCAGAGGTGTATTCCCAGTTTGATAGTGTGCATGCCTGAGAAAGAAATAACATAAAAATAAGAGAAGTCAATTAGCATGCCTGGGAAGCAGTTTTATTAATTTGACAACTGCAACATACAACAAAAGAAATTGAACTAAACAACTGTAGTCATCACTCATCATCTATAATGAATGAATGAGGAACAACGATAAAGGCATGCTACCGCAAAGATCTAATATGGTAAACCAGGCCTTCTTGCCAGCTTGGCCCAGTATCATCCCTGATAAGGCAAGAAATTCACATTTTTTGTGGCAGGTTTTTGCCCCAGTGATGATTAATATCTAAGAACATCACTTCAAATCTTCATAATCATAAGATAACCATTCAAGGCCTCTGATGACCACAATGTACACTACCTTAGAGGAAAAGTACATTTTAGAAATTTAGCCGAGTACAGCAGTAACATAATCTTCAGATTCCCAAGGAAGGCTTGCTTCTGAAACCTCATCAAATAACTAGCAACTGACATTTTACCCAGTGTTCCTGACTACAAAATGATGCCTATTATTTGAATTATGAGCAAAACTAGTAAAAAAAATGGAAGCAACCTAGACCAGTGAAAAAAAAATTATTAGTCTCCAGCCCACATATGAAGAATAAAGGAGTAGACTAAAGATGATGAGATGAAGATAAATGGATCATAAATTTTGGCTTTTGAAGCGATCTAACAATTGAAACTTTCATTATAGTGGAGATCAAGATTGAACTACTCTACAATCTTAACTGAACTAGATGACAATAACATAGATCTAGCTAACATAAAGCACCTAATCAGTGAAGAATGCATTCTATTTAAAGCTATAAAGATTATAATTAATTGCGCTTAGAATAAAAACAGTTCCTAATTTCCTATACCTACCTAGAGCAAATGTCAGGTAGCGCTAAAAGAGAATACTATTGTGTCATGAGCTAATTCTGATGAGATAAAATTGCGGTAATCAAGGTTGCAGAAAGCACTAGGTGATGGTGGGCAATTGCCTACAGCCTAGAGGCTAGAGTACATAGGCAGTGCCTAGGCGGCCTAGGTGGTTTTTTCTTTTTGATAATAGTTTTTTGATATAATTCTAAGAGAATAAGAAAAAAATGTAAAACAATTTTAAAATTTCTAAAATAAATAGGAAAATAATCATTTTTCTATGCATTATTTTGTCTAAAGAGCAAAATTTAAGGGAATTACTTGGCATTTAATGTTTTTTTAATATCATTTTTATAATAAATTAAACAACATATTTTCATTAGGCTAAAAAATTAATAAAAAGCATTTGCTTAAGTACTTTAGGTGCCATTAAGCACGCCTAATAGTGCCTGGGCGTGCTTAATTGATCTGGGTGGTGCAAACCACATTGAATTTCTGCAGTTGGAATGGCACCACCTAGAGCCTAGGCGGTGCCTAGGCGCCGCCTAGGCATGCTTTTCACAACACTGGCAGTAATTGATATTATAACGCTTAACAGTAAAGATTTTCCAAGACCATGTCAAATCATGTTAAAAGCTATGATTATGACAGCAAAGGCCTAAAAAGCTTAAGTTTAGCACCTACCACTAAGCAGCTCAGCATATCAACTGCCCCATATAAAACATATGCTGCACTTGAACATTCAATATTTCAATGTATAAAATGCAATTCTTTCAGCAATACCTAGTTGTCTAAAGTGTCAGGCAATTTTCTTAAGTAATAAAATAGGCTGAGGGAAAAATGAAAAAAAATATATATATAGATATTCTGATAAACAGTATATAACCAATGGCAACACAAGAATAACTTCCAAAAGTTATGAAGACATCTAGAGGAAAAGAACTTTACTTGTTATAAAACAAAAGGCCATCCTTAACATAAGGCATCTCTCCTGTATATGCTGTCCACAGACCATTCTGGTCACAAGGGTACACAGGTATAGGACAGAATCTAAATCTATGATAATGTGAAGGAGGACTGCAAGCTCCACTTTCTTCAAGCTTTGAGTTTAACCAATAGAACCTAAACTCAGAAGTGCAATCATAGAGAGAGTATCCATTCCAGCAAACCATATCAATCACATAGTAAGTCTGGTCCGCCTACAACAAGCAGCAAACAACATAAATCAAGAGTTGTATCTACATGTAAAAGAAATATAATAAAGTTAGATACCACCACAATTAAGAAATAAGATCATTTTTATCGTTTTCTTTGGGAGTATTACCTCATGAAAAATACAGTCCAGAATACAGTATGATTGACCAGTGCCAGAGGCATTTCTGGTCCTAGCGCCTGCAGGTAGAGCAGATGGGAAATGATGCAAAATGGAGCCATTTCGTTGTCTGCTTACTGTCGTTCCATTAGATGAAACTACAAAGCATCGTTTCCCTGCTGGCCTTGCAAACACATACCTACCAAAACCCCAATCTTTAATTTCAAACCTACTCTAGAAGCCAAAAAGTCTCTCATCTAACTCAGCTGATATATACGCCTCAAGAAATGCTAAACAATTCACTAAATAAATCAAAGATGAAACCAAATAAATTGAACAAAATTTGACTGTGTATCAGGGATAAATAGAAACTTTACCAGTCCTGGCTCAAACTATTGGGGACATCAATCATCCACTCTGGTACCATCAACTGCCTCGCGAACCACTTCCGAGCTTCTGCTCCTTTGAGCTTCGAAGCTTGCCTGACATCGAGGTCCTTGGACGGAGTTACGGATTCACGATCGGTTTCGGATGACGTTTCAAATTCGCCGTCATTTTGTTCGATTTCGGCCTCGGGGTTCTGGGAGTTGAGAGAGAGGATAGAAGAGGCCAAACAGCGAGCTTGCTGTTGAGCGTCGCGACGATTCTGTGATTGGCGGAGCAAGGATAGCTCCCTGCGCCTCTGCTGATCGGAGATGGCTGCCCGCTTGAATGGACGGCGGAGATCATGGGGAGCCATCTCTTAGCGTGCTAGTCTTTCAACTTGTTAACGACTGGCCTTGGGGAATCAGTACTCTCTGGCCTTGGCGACACAGCTTCTACATAACGGTTTGAAATCAGACGCCTATTCTGGAGACGATGCCTTGAGAATTTGAAGTCGGTGTTTAGAACGACACCGTTTCTCTGCAGTTCGTTTTTCTTCTACTTTTATTTATCTTCCGACATTTTTGAGTTTGAAACTCTTATTAATGAGTTTTTTATAATCCACACTACAATAGATTTTTTTAAAAATAATTTAGACAATAGAAACTACATTAAATTATAAAAAAAAAGATTAAAATTTTATTATGATTATTTTATTTTAATAAAAAAAAATTTTAGTCTTTTTACTTAAAGAAAATGTTTTTTAATCTCTAAAGTTTATTACCTAATTGTTTTTTTTAATCTTTTCATTATTTTTGTATACATGGCATACTAAGAAATGAAAATTTTAAAGTGAAAGGACTAAAAAAGTCTTTTTTTACTCTCTATACTTTAAGAAAATCTCTTTTTAATCCTTTTATTTTGAAATTTTTATTATCTAACATGTTATGTACATAAAAAAAGAATGCAGGGACTAAAAAAGAAACTTCAAGTACTAAAAAAAACATTTTTAAGTATAAGAATTAAAAATATACTTTTTATTAAAGTAAATAGATTAAAATAAGATTTTAACTAGAAAATAATTTAGAATGCAAAGAAAATGGACTATTAGATCGTAGGATATCTTTTAATATTAGAAGGTACACTCGCTATTAATGGTTAATTTAATACGATTTAATACATTTCAATATAAATAGAATTGCACTAAACACATTTAAATTAATAAATTACATCATTTTTTTTTTTTTACAATTAGGATGTTAATTGCTAATTTTTACACATTTTAAGACTAATTCATAACATTTTAAGTTGTGCTTTCCACTTCGGTTTGGTGCATTAAAAAATTAATTTTTTTAAATGTAATTTGATCTATAAAATAACACTTATTTATTAATAAATTAATCCTTAAATTTATTTTATTTTTATTTTTTAATATATCAAAGAAATTAGGTGCATGGCATTACTTAGAGTTTGAATTCTGGCCCTTATCTCAAATTAGGAATTTTAAATTAATAAATATTACCTCACAAAAGCTCTTGTGATTCTTTTTATTTTTATTGCATAATGAAAAATATTAATATTATATTCTCTTATACTTTTACTTATTTACAATTTATCTACTTATTTACACATAAATTCAAAATCATGGCGCCTAGAATTTCTTATTACAGGATTAATTTTTTTATTTTTTATTTAATTTTTTAGGATATCTTTAATTCAAGAAAAGGAGAGTGGAAAAGAAACTATGATTTGATTGACGAGAAGCTTGTCCTTTCCCTCCCTTCCCTTCCATTACCACAAACCATATACCATTAGTAGTGGCAGAGCCCATGGTAGATTAAAGCCCTTGGGATTTTGGGGCAAAAGAAAAAAAAAAAACTTATTAAAAGAAGCTTGGCATAAGGCATGGTTCTCAGTTATCTGGTCCATTTGGCTATGGAGAAACCAATTAACTTTCAAGGAAGGCAAGGACACTCTTGATATAGTGCTGGAATTAATCAAGGTACTCTCACTTCACTGGATTAAGGTCAAGACTAATTTTGAATTGGATAAAGAACAATGGTGGAAGAATCCTAAGGAAGCGCTTGAATGAAATAGAATTAGCTTGTGATTAAGTAGTGGGTTTGATCTGATTTTGTAATTCAAGATATTTG